CATTCCATGTGTCCGCTCGGGATTAGACTTCGCACGGACGTAATATTTTTTCCACAAACTGAGCCGCTTGGTAGGTTCCTTTTCTCCCCAGAAAAGTTGTTCTCTTCTTTTCTCTTTGATTTCACTCCTCACAGGTGAAATTGCCAAAACAGTGACTGTTCAGCCTCTAATTGCTTCTTTTATCTCTCCTTCATGCAGGACAAAATGCAAGGAATACCTGCCTCCTTTCTCTTCCCTTTCTTTCCCTTAACTATGGCACAACACTTCTATACCTTTCGATTCGGCTAGGGCATCAGCCCCTCGACCTCTTCTCTTTCGCACACAAGGCTATTTTTTTCCTGACTCTTACCACTTTCGAGACTCCCTCCATTTTCCTCTCTCGCACACAACAATACCACTCTCGGCTAGGTTTCTCATACAAGGTACGAAACTTACTCCGCTTCCTCTTACGCTCTCGCTCTTACTCTTTTTCCTCCCTCGCACACTAGTTACTATTACTCACTCAGTTCATTCTCTTGTGAAGGATAATGGGGAATAAATATTACATTCTAATTTCCCAAAGAGCAGCACCTATGTTCGAATTGAAATTAAATAATTTCTTTCAGTTATTATTATTTTTTATTATTATTACAATAGAGAAGAAAAATGGACGACCAAATTTGAAATATCATTGAATATGTAAAGATAAGAGCTGGCTTACACTGAAACATGGGGAGTTTTTGTGATAAAGAGGATCAAAACCTTGATGAAAAAATAATAGAATATAGATAGTCGAAGCACGCTGAGATCATGAAACTATCGGTTCACCTAAACCCCCCTGAACCGACGAGATACAGCAATAGCAGAAGAAACAACATGAGCTAGGTGGAGAAACGACGAAGAGCCAAAAGCACTATCCTAGGTTAGGGGAAAAGAAAAAGAATAATATGAAATGGTAGTTAATGAATAAAAATTTATACGCAACAAACTAGATCAAGGCCATAAAGACGCTATCTAGAGAGTCAAGAATGGAACTAGGATAGGAGCAAGCATGCTGCCCAGAGGTTCCACTACCCTTAAAGGAATGAAAACACAACAAGGCAAATAATGTGATCACAAAAGGAGACCATGCGAACAAAAACAAAAAAACTAGTAAATAGTGTGCCGAACTCAAGGTCATAAAGCAATCATAGGTCGTGCGACGAGGAGGGCTCATGAATACATCCAAACATAGCCGATTCAAAAAGAATGGACGATCACAATGATGGCACCTAAGGTAGGCAACAACCTAGTCTCCATCCCAAATAAAAAAAGTAACGGTTGTTGTTAGGCCAATAACCAAGTATAAACTTACCAAAATAAAGAAAATATCCCTAAATTTAAATTTTGCTAGAAAAAAACCAATTTTGATTAGAACAACATAAGGATGTTTGGATATTACCCATTAGTAATACTTACAACTTAATAAAATTAACTATATTTTTATTTATGGATAGAGTAGTAACATAAATAGATGCCTATATAGGCTGAATTATAGCAAGCTTTTCTCTTGCCAAGTAGGCAATGATAGACCCCACAAAAAGACTGAAACATTTCGATCAGCATAAAATTCCAACTCCTTTCATACCCATAATTCATGTTGTCTATTCAAAGTAGCTGAACTCCATGCTACTTGCATGATACAACCCTTACCCTTATTTATTTAATTCTTACTTATTGCAAAATAAACTAAATAATTTGAGCCTGAGGGAAAAAATAAAAAAACTTATAAATGCAACCAAAATACAAAACTTGTTATTCATCATCCATTATCTATAATCCAAATCCAAGATGAGATTATCGTCACATATATTGCTAAAATTACTATTTATTTGAAACGCAAAGAAAAAATGAATTGTGTTAATTGAATAACAAAATATACCCTTTTTTTAAGCCCAAAAAGGCTAATATATTAAATAGAATGAAAGATACAGATACAATGTATGGGAGGGCCCAAGCATGGCACCCTGCCCACACAAAAACCACAAATGGTTCCAAAACTAGAACAAACAGAAAACTACATTAAATACTTAAATAAAAAGTCTAACAGTGCCGAAATAAATAGAATCAGGTGGCTAGAGAGACCCAATTTGGTCTTGCATTTGTCTCTAGTTCTAGGAAAGGAGCAAGCAAATAAACTGATAAGATGATCGTCATTGCCAATAGTAACAAATTTATCATACAATATGTCCCCGAACTGGAGTCGGTCTCAATTCTTCTTCTTCCTCCTGGAATAGACTTGTCATTCCTCATCTGAAGAATCAGTCTGATGGGGTGGTAGAGCTGAAGCAGAAGGAATATCAACTGTAGTACCCACAATATGTTCTAGTATATGTGAAGTATGAGTTGTCTCAACATCGGATGCTTCTTGAAGAAGTAGAGCTACGAGGCTCTCCTGATTAATAGTCTGAACACTGTCATTTGTAGTTAATAGTCCATTAGTATAGTTTTCTATGGGGTTTGAAAATGTCAGCATCACATCACTCGCAGTGACAGTAACAACAGTGTCATGGTGGGGTCCTCAGATGCAAAAGACACCTCCTGTCTGGTAGTGTCCTCCCCAGGTAGAACTAAAATGTCCAGAGCAGTAGGCTTAGACCCACCCTTATTCACTTGAACCTTAGATTTCAAAATTGGATGAAACCTGTGGAATTTATCAAGGACATGATCAAACATCTTACAATGGGTACAATATAGGGGTTTGTTCTCCATGACAATTTGTTGCCAATAACCATTATTGATTGTGTCCAGCCAGACTTCAGTAATATCAGGTAAAGTGACATCCCTTTCAACAAGTATTCTGGCAACCGATGGTATGGTTACGTTGAAAGAAGACAGATCTAACTTCGAAGAATCTTCAAGGATGACCAAAATAGAGTAGAGAACCTTATGGTAAAAAAATTGCAACTTGAAACTAGGCAAACTAAATCATACCGGTACAGTGGGAATTTCATGATTTGGGTCGAAATCAGCAGACCACTTGAGTAACTTCATTGATTTGTTTGCGATATTAAGATATTTCTTGGAGAAAATTCTGGTGTAATCTTCAGCAACTGTTAGTTGGATCAACACGTCTCAAATCCATGAGTCTCACTTTTCACTTGCCTATTAGTTTAAAGTTATCTACACTCTTTCTGATAACATCCATAGGAGGGTGTCCCCACTGAAATTTTTCAATAAGAACAAACTTGAATTTTTCAATCATGGTAGAAATTTCTGATTCAGAGAAAAATATTGTTGTTTTTCCACCTTTCCTACTTCCCTTCTTAACAAAAGCGCAATCATCTGTACCCTCGCGACATTCCTTATAGCTTGAGGGGAATACCACGGCGGATTCCATCTGAGGATTACCCACCACGTGAGCAAAGGAGACTTTGTCCGGCTCAACCAAAGAAGAATGAAGTGTCATCAGAGCAAGGAGAGTTGTCGGCGTTAAGCTACAGCGAGAAGCGTCGGGCTGGGTTGCTGACAGTCAGAAAATTGTCGGCAGAGAGAGAAGCGGGCGCATTCACAGCAGAAGACGCATGTAGTCGCAGCAGAAGACGCAGTCGCAGCAAAAGAAGGAATCGAACAGAAAAACTGAACTGTCGGGCGCAGACGCAGAAGCAGGTGGCGCAAGCGCGGCATCAAAAAACGCGCAGACGCACCATGCTACGCAAGCGCGAGAGAGAGAACTGCGACGAAAACTCGAGACAGTGACGCTAACGCAGATGCCCACGACGGAGCGAGAGTCGACGATGCGAGGTCCTCTCCTTCGAGCAGCGGTAGAATCAATTGCGACCGAAATTGCTGTCGGAAGCCCTAGCAGAGCTCTCGAATAACAAAATATACCTTGAAACATAGATTTTACAATCAAATTGGAGCTCACATGCAAAAGAATAAAATATCATAAAGTAAAACTGAACTTTGCTATACATGAAAAAAGCCACTTAACCAAGAGATGAACATTGGATGCAAAATGTTTTAGGTTTACCTCAAGATGAAGATCAAAGTATTCGCAATATAAGCAACCATTTCCCTAGAAAACAAAGAAATACCAAAGAAGTTTAAAAGAAAAAAAAGGGTTATCTAAAGCATATCTTACAGCAGGATGACTCAATTTTCTCATTTAAAATCAAATTATAGATGTACTTCATGATAATAAAGGTAACAATGCTCCAACGAATGATCTCAAAAAAAAGTAACAAAATTTTTAAACAAGTGCAAGCAGATTGCAAAATATCATTATCAGTAACCAAATTTCCATAATCCATTTTTGTCTCAGTCATTGAATTTGAGCTAACATTAGCGGTAGTTTAAAAGTTTTCCTAGAAACCCAAGCAAAGGAGTTGCAGGTAAATGATTATGTTGTAGAAACCCAAAGAAACAGTAATACCCAATTTTTTATAAGGTATAAATGCAAAATACCCAAAATTAATTATATTCAAAATTTCAACTTCTTCAAAAATCATCAAAATCTATTTCATTGCATTATACTCTTCACAACAATCATTTTAATATATAGAACTATAAGTTAATTCTCAAAGTTACTGAACTAATTTCAATTTTGATTAACTTTCATAAACTTTCTAATTAAATATACAGTGTTACTGTAGAATTTGAGAGCTCATTAAATAAATAACTAGTATATATACAGCTCAAACTAACCCTCTTACAACTACAGGGAAATTCAAATCATCATGATAAAAAAGAAGAAATAAAACATAATAATGGATAATTAAGGGAGAATAATTTCTCCCCTCAAATATAACAATGAACCCACGGTTTTCCTAAATAGTGTGCATATCAAAAATATATGTAGGACAGCAGCGGCAAATATAATAATGAACCCACGGTTTTCCTAAATAGTGTGCATATCAAAAATATATGTAGGACAGCAGCGGAAATTAAAAATTTCCATTTATGAGAGCATGCAACGGCTGATGAGGTTTGGATGGTTGTGTTAAATTAACTTGCGCGCGCGCGCGCACATATATATATACATAATAAACAACTATTCTATTTATCCACCCCAAACTACGCTCATATTTCCCAACCCATTAGCGTCAGGTTGGCGTAAACAGAGAGCCAGTTGTAGGGGAAATTCAGGGAGAAGAAGAGGAGGAAGAGAAGAAGAGGAGAGGAGAGGAGGAGGAAGAGAAGAAAGGAGGAGAGGAGGAAGAGAAGAAAGGAGGAGAGGAGGAGAAGAAAGGAAAATAGGCAAGGAAAGAAAGTGGGTATCTTGATTTAACTTTGGATTTTTGGGTATTTATCGAATGAATTGTTTTCTAATTGAGATTGTAAATTTTTAAGCTTGTATGATTAAAAGTGATTTTGTGGTTATCTACAAAAGAAAAAGCTTTCGGGAAGCCAATTCAAAGGGATAAATCATCAGTCGGATAAGATTTACAAATTCTAATACAGAAAATGAATCATTTTCAATATTTGCACGTTTACTTGTACATATATTAGATCAATGTCTGAAATGCATTGTAAAACCTTAATAATATGGAATGCATATTTACATTATGTTATTCATGAGCAAAGAATCATATAAAAATTTAGTACATTCGAGCTCACAATTAAATGTACTATGATTATAAAAATATTTTAGTAGTTTATGATATTGTGAAAAGAAAGCATATGATACATGTAAGTTGTTTATTTTGCATGCACAATTATTAAACTTATTTAAAAAAAATCACATGTTTATTGAAATATTTAATTAAGAAAATATGTAGACCTTAAAAAATATCATGTTATAAGAGGACAGACTGAAAAGGATATGTTTATGATCTTCTATACAGGTGAGAGAAAAGAGTCTCCGATAAAGTCAAAAGGATCCTCCCTACAGTTCAATAACAATAATATTTAGTTTCACCTGACCTTTATTTGACATGATGATGCAGTCTTTGGGCTGAATTTATGATATTCAATAATCTATAAAGCGTACATGACACATTCTAAAGCTAAAATAAAATTAAAAACAGCAGAAAATAAATATTTATTGCATTTAAATTACCTATGTGATGCTTGTTATCTTCAAGTACAAAATTTTATTATTAACTTCATGTATTCACTATTGTATTAATGTACGAATCACATGTACTTATTTTATGATTTTATCAATTCATGGTTAGCATGCATAATATTTACTATTCTTTAGTATTAGAGTTATGTTACATTTTTTGTCTTCCTAAGTTTCGTAACTCATCAGATTGTAATCATTCCTTTCATCTGCATTTGGTTCATTTGGTTGGCTAGAAATTCTCACAATCATGATAATTGTTGCATTACGCAGGATAGGGTGGTTTCAAATAGCCTATCTTGGATACATAAAGTGTTTATTTATCATAAATTTAAGCCATCCTTCTTTGCTAGCTGGGAAAATTGGTTGGGTTATGATATACCTGATAGAAATTTTTGTAAGATCTATCTTGTAGGGTGGAAAAAACCATCTTTCCCCTAGATTAAGGTAAATATTGATGGAAGTCGGAAGGTTGATTGTGCAGGTGCAGGTGGGGTCTACAGGTCTCATTCAAGGTCTCATTCTGATAAACTATTATGTTTTTTTTATTCACCTTGTATGGTTGTTTGTATAAACTTTTATGTTTTTTTTATTCACCTTGTATGGTTGTTTGTGCATTATCCGCAAAGTTATATGTCGTTTGGTTGGCCTTATCTATTGCGACTAAAATGAATGGGAAATTCTTGCAAATTGAGATGGATTCAACTATTATGTTGGGCATATTGGCGACTAATAAAGAACCTCCTTAGTATTTTAAGTGTTGATTTATGCAAGATTAAGAAACTTTCCTCAAATATTGTCATCACATGGAGCTACACACCCAAGAAAACCATAGGACAGTAGATTTCCTTGCCAAAGCTGCTACAGAGACTAAGGCTATAATCCTAGACCAAGCCTGATTCTGATTTTAAGCTGCTCCTAATGGGGTACAATCTCAATATGCCCTACCTCAGACCTTTCTTTTAAGATGGCATGTTTGTTATATTTTTACTCTACCATCTTTGCATTGATTTAACTATTCCTTTTATTTTTTAGTCTTTTCGGGGTATACTTGTATCTGTTTTAGATACTTTTTAGGGTGAGTTTGTACACCTAGAGTTTGGAACCCTAGGAGTGAGTACTGTATTTTGTTATTTGTAGTGGGACAGTGGGACCCAATCTCCTAAAAATGTGTAACTTTACTTTTGAGCAATGAAATTACCTACGAGTTTCCTTAAAAAAAAGAAAGGAGAAAGAATGGATTAAAGCCAAATACACCCATAAAATTTATGATCACCTTTTGCCGTGCAACTTTTGAAAGATAGAAAAATTTTGAGGCAAGTGAACAAATAAAGTTTATAACTTTTATTACGAATTTGACGGATTTTAGATGCACTATAGATATATTCAAATGATAAGTTTTAGATCGCTTCACTTAATTTCAATTGTTGAGTTTATTAAATTTGTGCAAAATAATATAATGTGTTGCATGTTGTTTCAGGTGAAATAATGTGACTGAGTTTATCTCTCACTCTATCCTTATGAGTAAGATAACATAATGGATGCTAGAGTTATATTTAGTTAGTTGGAACCACACCCGGTTCTACTGCAACCCATGTCTGACTAGTAGAGAGAATCATCATGGGGCATATAGAAACTTAGTTAAAAAGTACTACAATTGCTTTAAAGAGAGCTTACGTCATAGGTGGCTATTTGCAATTCATTTGCTTATCAATATATTAAGAAATAATGGCTATTTAAAGTGTAAAGCTGTCGTGAATAATGATAATGTAAGAAAAGTATGAGAAAATAAACACAAAATATTAAAACTAAAAATATGTAGCACTTCCATAATATATACAACCAGGTAATTTCGTTGAATGTTATGTTCAAAAGACATACACTTGTAGTTGAGGCCTCTTTTCAAGTAAATGAAAAATGAGGGTAGAAAAGAGAACTCTTAACAAATAAAATAGTTTTGAAGGTTGAAAGCTCATCTAAAGTAAATGAAAAATTAGAAGAGTAGATAAGAAAATATTATGGCTGAGTAGAATAAAGCTAGATAATATGACATGCATTTTGAGTATATATGAATTTAAAATTAAATAAAAAAATTAATCCAGAATATTATGTTAGATTAAACCGTCTTGAATATATCATAAAAAAAATCGATATGTACATAATACAAAATAGAGTTAAAACTAGGTGGGTTATATGAAAAAATACCACAAGATCGTTATGCAATAAAAGAATGCCAAGCAAATAAAAACAGATTTGTTAAATTGATGTATTTGAGCCAGGGACAACAAAGTCATGTACGGCATTAAAAATATTGATATAAATGCAAGGTAAAATTATGGAAGGATCAAGCGAGTAATAATTATATCAGAGAAACAATGAGAATAGAACAAAAATGATGATAAAATAGTGGAAAATAAATTTGGGTTATGTGCATATACAAAAAAGAGTGATGAACTAAAAAGGGGAGTAGACAAAATTAATGTAAAAGGAAAAAAGAGAAAAGGATAAGCTATTGTTAGAAGTTGTGAATCAGATTGGACAAAAAAGAGTTAAAACTATCGTATAGCAGCCAATCCAATCAATGGAATCTACAGATTCATAAAGCCAACCCCACTTACTTGGGATAAAACTAATGATGACAGTATGATGATAATAAAACATAATAAACTGCAAAGAATGATACAAGAAAAAATTTAAGTATATATGAAAATTAAGATATAATAAACGCTGGGTGCTGTGACACAAAAAATAACGTGTGATTAATTCAACAATCTTATTATCAGTAAAAGTTCAAATTTATGATTTCCTGAAAATGTGACATTTGAAAAAAAAAATCAGTGTAGTATCATCTTATCTGAAGCACTCTGCTTCTTTCAGTGGTTACATACCAGAAATGATGTAAGCTCTGTTGATTATCACCCTTGAAAGCTGTTTTGGCTACTGCAAATAATCTGCCATGCAAGGCAACCCATTGAAAAAAAAAACAAAATTAATTGTGATATAAAGAATTTGTTCTAGTATTTCTTACATGCCCAAAGTCATCACTGCCAATACTCCAGAAACATCTGCCCCACCTTGAGCCTGGCAGACAGACATCATTCTTTAGGAATCAAAACGAGGAAAAAAGAACATGGAAAAGCTCCATAGTGCTAAAACTACATTTCATAAATTCAAAGTTCGTAGGAAGCTTTAGTCCATTCATTAAATAAGTAAAGCCATAGACAATGAAATGCTAGAAACGATTAAATAGTGACTAGGAAAAATATGGACAGAGAAGATGAAAATGTATAGAATCTTCCCATCATGTCATCAATAACGAAAAGAGAAAAAAGTCAAGGTTTTTGTTGCTAAAAAGGGGCAAAACAAAATCATGCATCTCGGTCAAGTAAATGTCTAAGGCAGCCATAGCAGATGGAAAGACACAAAGAATCATAAACATGCTGAAAGTTATTTTGATTTGAACACAAGTGCTAAAAAGAATTCAAAATACCAGCATGCAAACCGTGTAACAGGGTAAGTAGAGATGTACTGATACTGGAGAAAGGGCCCCCAAATAACAAAAGAAACAATAATATTATTGCTAAATTTCAAAGATTACAACAACACTCGTCAAAACAAAAAATAAATGACTAATAAACCCAAAAGACACCCTGAAGTGAGGACGAGAAGTGGTGAATGTGGCTGGCAGCAGGTTGGAGTCAGAGTGGAGGTGGTTGTGAAGGCAAGGGAAGGGTTATAAGGGGGTTCTGACAGCATTGGAAAGCAGCTGTGAGTAGTTGAGGGGGGCTGGCTGTTATGGTATGAGGATTTGACGCCAATTCAGGAGGTTGGAGGGTAACATGGAGGAAGTTGAAGGCAATCACGAGAGAGAGCAGGTTGGTGGGCTGAGGATGTTATAGGGCAAGTGGGATAGGAGATCAGCGATAAGAAAACACCATGAGCAACGTAGGTGATGGGGCAACTGAACTGTAGGTTCGGGAGGAAGGTGCAGGTGTTAGTACGGGGAGGGTTGCATGAAGGTTGTGGTTTGGAGGGCAGCAGGTGCTGCGGCTTGGAAGGCCTCAGGGACTGGAGTAGGGTCAGCGGCAGGAAAGCAGGATGTTATTACTGAAAGAAGGGGACTTTTTGCAACAGGAGAAGGGAGTGGCTCGATGATGCGGCTGGGTGGGGGAATCCAGTAGGTGGAAAGTTGTGGTGGATGTGAAGGATGAGGAAGATAATCAACACCGAACGGAGGGATGCAGTCAGAGCACCACCCTAACTGTCGGATACAACCCTCGAGGGGGAAAGTAGGACGTCGGCAGCAGTCCTCAAAAACTGAAATCAGAAATTTAACACAAGCTAGAAACCAAGGACAGCGAATACTTACATTTATAATAGACATATAGGCAAGAAAACAGAAAAAAAAAGGAGGGAAAATTCCTGCCTAATGAAAAGAAGAGGGGCAGGTTCAACCCCTACCCCTTGCTGAACTGGGTAGAACTGGTTCAGCCTCGAGCCCCCGCGTCCGGCTCCATGGGTTTGTGGGGAGCTTCGACCTCTTTCGTCGAAGTTGTTGACTCCTTGTGGCACGGCGTCAAGTCTTCTAGCACGTCTAACAAGTAGATGTCATTCCAAAGCAAATTCTAATAGAAGAGATATTTGTCCACCTTCGGCAAGACTTGAGTTGTAACTGTAGATAGATGAGTATTCCTACGAATCAGGTATCACATCATCCCAATTCCAACCTGCTCTTCCACCCCTCTTACTCGGTTGGGTGCAATTAATAAACTGGTATGTAAGGAGAAATCCACTATGGGTTGAAATCTATGGCAGGATGTGCCCCACTCTCACAAACTCCACTTCAAGAGAGACCACTTCCTCATAGATAGGATCTAGGTCCTATTATAGAATTTTTGTCCCCATCAAACCCTTCGAGCCCACTACAAAGCTGGGGTTCATTTCTCCCGTCTGGACATCTAACGAGGTATTCTATGCTGACCCAAAATTACCCTCTCATAACTCCATGTAATATTCTCGACACGGCACACAATGACCTCATTTCTGACATGTTGGACCTCGCTCAGTCGAGATAATTAAGGAAGGGGTTTCTACATCTAAAAAATATGCATCTCGCTTATCTGGGGTGGACTTGTATCTGATGTTGCCTCCTCAAACTCAAAACCCTTGTAGACATTCAAGGTGCTGACATTCCTCTTACCGCCTACAAGACGTTAGAGACACCATAATCTCATGCTCTACAGGGTTGTCTATTACCTCAGAGTCACTGCCTTCTAGAGCAGCAACTGTTACTTCAGCCGGAATCTCTATCTCGATGTCAAGTGGATTTGGTGGTGTCTCTTCCTCGTTGGCTGAAAAATAAGAATTTTCTTTGAAGTTTATGGGCTCGTTTGGGGCAGCTTAAAACAGCGGGCGGCATTTGGCAGCTTAAAATAGCGGGGGCAGCTTAAAATAGCGGGCGGCGTTTTCAAAACGCCGCCCTACTGTTTGTTTGATGAGTTTCCATCGAGTTTCGAAAAACTCCTTTTTTGTTTTGTGAATAACATCGCCCGCTGGATTATCCCCGCGTGCAACGTCCCTTGATCGTGTTTAGTCCCCAATTACTTTGCTACCCCTCGAATAGCGATCGAACCCGCTTCCTTCTTCCTTCGTTCATGATCGAGCTCGCACAGCCGCCTGCTTCTTCGACGTTGTGTCTCTTCCTTTGTTCACGATCGATCGAGCTCGCACAGTCACCTGCTTCTTCGATGCTGCGTCTCTTCCTTCGTTCGTGATCGATCGAGCTCGCAGAATCAGCAAAATAGTAAGGAGGCTCTCGGGATTTTGAGGGCTACGGCAAAGGAAATCGAATCTCCAACAACTGTGGGCTACTGCAGGGAAGCACGGCATTAGTGTCGTGAGCGAAGAGAGAGATCGTGAGAGGCTAGGGCAATGAGGCTTGGCGCAAGGCAGGGATTTTGAGTCATGCGACCTCGACAAGAAGGTGATCGCAGAAAAGAACGCGGAATAGGGAATATTGCAGCAAAGCGATCTCGAACAGGGAAGGAGCGAAGAAGATCGCGACCAAGTATTATGGTTGAATTTATTCATATTTTTTATATTATTCAATATCATTTTATAATACACAATATGCAATAACCATTAAAAATATATAATATCATTTTATAATATTTTTGATATCATTCATTATAATTTTATAACTGTTTTAAGGTCTTTATTTTTTTTTTTTGTTCTGAAGTCATTTTTTTGCTTCTTAACTATCAAATATATTATTATGACGCTTATGTTGCAAATAATATTAATGCACAAGGGCAGAATGGTCATTTATCCAAAAACAGCTGCAAATCAGTAATTTCCAAACGCACAAACCAAATAGTCAGCCAGCTTATCCGGATCAGCTGCTGATGAGCAACTTATCAAGAAAAGTTGATGATCTGGATAACCTGGATAAGCTGCAGCTGCCCCAAACAGACCCTCTATCTTTTCTTCCTGATCACCATTAGAGCAAGTACTCGTTTATGGCATCATCATCTTGAATTTTTGTGGTGCATTTACCCAACTTTTTGTTTCCTGATCACCATTAGAGCAAGTACTTCTCGTTTATGGCATCATCGTCTTGAATTTTTGTGGTGCATTTACCCAACTTTTTGAAGACACTCGGCTGGGTGAAGTAAATTACTCCCTTGATTGTGCATACTACTTCAGCATGTCTAAATCTGTGGCACTTAGCTACATTTTGTGGTTGCTACAGACTTGTGGATTGGTTTCGCAAAATAACAGCCAAGGGGAGTCGTTTGGTGTTGCAGTTTCTCTACTTCGGAAGCTAAAGTCAGCAACTTTTAGCGGTAATAAGTTAGTAGGAACCAGCACTGTGTTTCCCGCTTCATCTTCATTTCTTCTCATTCCCCCCTTCGAACTTTCGAATCACGGTTGAGGGTACCCTCAGATTGGATTTCATCTTCCATGTTCCACAGCCGAAGTCACGGATCTCTCTCCGTATCTTCTCCCAGAAAGGCATAGGCACGGCTAGGGTATCTTAATGGTGGCACAGCTAGGGTCTAAACTGCGGAGGTAAGAGGGCTAAAAATTTAGGATTGCTGATTTTCAGGAATTGAGGATTATGTCAAAGTTTTAGCTATGGCTGGGAATAGAAATTAACAAAGATATCGTGTGGTGGCTTGGGAAGGGACAGATGCTAGGAAATCGTAAAATATGACTAAGGTTGGACAGACTCTAATATCAAATGATACCAGAGAAAGGGCCCCCAAACCACAAAACAAACAAAAAGATTATTGTTGAATTTCAAATATTGCAACATGACTTGTCAAAACAAAAAATAAATGACTAATAAGCGTAAAATACACCCTAGGGTGAGGATGAGAAGAGGTGGCTATGGTTGGCAATAGGTTGGAGTCAGAGTGGAGGTGATTGTGAGGGTAAGGGAGGTTTAGAAGTGGGTTCTGATAGCATTGGTAAGCAGGCGTGAGTAGTTGAGGGGACCTGGCTGTTATGGTTTGAGGCGTTGATGTCCATTGTGGAAGGTTGGAAGGCGCTATGGAGGAAGCTGTTAGCAATCACGGAAGGGAAGTAGCAACTTGGTGGGCTGAAAGTGTTAGCGACACAATAGGCCAGTGGGAGAGATTAGCGGTAGGAAAACACCTTGATCGATGTAGGTGATGGGGTTGTTGAACGGTAGGGTCAGGAGGTAGGTGCGAGTGTTGGTAAGGGGAGGTTGCGGGAAGGTTATGTTTTGGAGAACAGTAGGTGTTGTGGCTTCGAAAGCCACAAAAACAGGGTTAGGACAACTGCAGGGACGCAGGAAGATATTATGAAAAGGAGGGGAGTTACGGCAGCAGGAGAAGGGAGGGGCTATATGATGCGGCTGGGTGGGGGAATCCAACAGGATGCAAGCGGTTGAGGTGGATGAGGAGGTTGAGGAAGATAATCACCACAGTGGAGAGAGATAAAGCCGAAGCACCACTCTAATCGTCGGATACAGCCCTCAAAAGGAAAAAAAGAACGTTGTCGGCTATCCTTACAAATTGAAACCAGAAAATTAACATAAGTTGGAAACCTAGGAC